ATATTACAGTTACGAATTAATTTGTTGCAAAGTACTCTGGAATTATTAGACAGGGGAATAGATAGAGTGCAATCGACAGAGAGAAGGGGATGATTCTAAATGACGAAGAAAAAACCGTAGGATAAACTTTTTTCACGGAGGAAAAATTACTCGAAGCATTCGTTTGCTTGAAAGTAATAATTTCTGGGAACGTGGGATCAAATTTCTTTTATCGGGAAATATCACTCCCGAGAAAAGAAATTTTATCCCACATTTCCTGAAATAACTACTTTAGAAATTGCTACTTATATAATATATATATATATATATATATATATAAATACGTAATTACATATATATGTATATGTATATAATACATATTATGTATATTAATAACAATCAGTCTACATCACAATGTTAATACTAGAATGAACCATTTATTCGTTCAAACAACGATTCAAACTTTAGAAATTACTACTTATATAATATATTATATATGTATATATATATATATATATAATACATAAAATACATAATATATAAAGTACATAATTACATATATATGTATATTAATAATAATCAGTCTACATCACGATGTTAATACCAGACTGAATCATTTATTCGTTCAAACAACGATTTAAACGGAATTCGAACGATGGGCATAGGATTGAAACGAAATCTAAGAAAAGTTGAGTTGGCGGAGGCGATTGGTGGCACTTCGGGGTAGATAGTCGAGCAGTTTAGTTCAGGAGTGGCCGTTGGGGAACGATCTGACGGCGCCAGGGGAGGCATAGCTTCTTCCCACGTGGTACCCTCGACACGGTCTACCCTCATAATTCTACTCGGCCTTCCTCCAGGCGCCACCTCTGGTTTCTCCAAGGCGTCGTAGCCGCGAAGGCAACGAGGAACATCGTTGCGGATGCCAGAGAGGGAGTGAAAATCCCTCCTGGTTCGCTACCGCGCGAAGAACTGGCGAGCTTCTGTGCAGCCCATCCCCCTCGTGAACGGAAACCGCCATGTGATTTTCCAGCAACGACAGTTTCACCCTCTTTTCTTATTATGGGGTTGCGAAGCCACCTTGAGGAAGAGGTTACTCAAAATTTTATCGAGGGAATATCTGATTGGACTAATCGAGCAAGAGTTTCTCTCTCGTTCTTACGTATATATTATTATGCTGTATGAAACATTTTGAAATCTTATTAATACTGATGACGAGACACGACTATTATGATCATATTGTGTAAAATTTCTAGTGAATCTGAAAATGCAAAGGTGCGAAGGTATATTTTACGAGGCTATAAAAAGTAATCGTTATATGGAATTTCAATAGGAAGATTTCGGCGTCACCATCTTAACCCCTTGCGCTGGCTCGCGGACCATAACGAGTGACCGAGCCGTATACGACATCACTGGATAGAAATTATTGAGAAGTAACAAATTTATTACTACATTATTTATGGACTTTTGGTTTGAGAGTGGAGGTGGCAGGTCACGTTTGTGGCGTGAGAAACGAAATAGAATTAGCGACAGAAAACCCGATCCGAATAGGAAGATTTCTTATAAAGGTCTTTGAATACCATCCCATCCATGAAGGTCGATATAAAATAACAACAACATTTGTTTTATAATTAAACACTGATATAGAAATAACCAAATGCTACCAGGAGAAAAGTGAACCAAAGAATAAAGACAGAAAGGGAAAGATGTCTTCATTCTCATCCGCCCGATTTTCCCATCGAGCTTTAATCGTTCTCCCTGTTTCTCCATCAAATCGATATTCTGTGTCTCTAGTATCCTTCCGAAAATTTCTCGTCGAAAAAATCGTATTTAAACGAAGAGGGGACGATCGAATGAGCGTACGCGCTCGGAATAAATTTCGAATAAACGTCGAATAAATTTCACCGAGTTATATAAATCATACGAGCCGTATGCGTCTGCGGAGGAACGTTAACGACCGTTGATACTTATAAATGCATCGATAACGAACAAAGTTAGCGGCGAACGCGATGCTAATTAGAAGATGGGGAAAACGGCTCGTGCACGCGGCTGCGAATTTCGAAGGAAAAAGCTCCCGTTTGTTCGGACGCCGGCGAACACAGCGTGTGGGCAACGGTTCGCACCATCTGTACGTCGATAAAATCTGCACCTGTTGTCAGAACGCTCCGGCGTCGTTGCGCTTATTAGATCGCCGATCGCGTTCATTATACCGACCGCCAGTCCTTACGTTGCGTTTCACCGCGTTTCACGCAACGCACCAGCTACGATTTCCATCCGTTTCGTTTCTGGCTAAATCAAAAGTCCGAGGCGAAATGATTTTGGTAATTGAAAAACGTTCTGTCGCCACGCGACCGTTGTTCTTTTTATAGTGGAATGTTTGATGGAGAAAATGAAAGAGGATGAGAAAAGGGAATGGTAGAGATAGATGAAGATACTAGATACTTATGTATTAACTAGTGATCCTTGAATATGAAATAAATCGTTACTATTATTATTATATAACGAGATATCATAAAACGAGAAAAAGAAAGATCGAATATACTTTATGACAGCTTCAATTATGATTCAATTTTTCGAATCATTTCATAAATAAACTAGATTAGAGCATTTTACGTGCTCTTAGTTTCCAATATTGATAAATCCACGAAATCGAAAAAAACGAATCCACGTTTTTAAAGATATTAGCTTGTAGCATTTCTACGAGAGGTACGATGATTTTTAGTAAAGAAGTTATTGTTACCGAAAGTTCGAAGAGTTTCTGTCATTACCTAGTATAGGATTATCGAGTTGTAAGATCACAGCAGAAAGTTCTAGTACAAATTTGTGAAGATATCAGACGGTCGAACGATTTAGGATCGTTGTTACTCGGCGTCACCCCAGAGTCTAACCCTGATAAGGATCGTTGCTAATTGTTGCGAATTGGCGAAGGTGGCGAACGAACCAGGGAGATCGGGCAACAGGTGTCATCTGATTGATCGCCGTAGCTCGCACCCCCACGATTACCTAGCCCACAAACACATCCACGCCAGAAACGAACGACTTAATGTCGATCCATTACGCGCTCGCCCATTATCGCGCGAAACCGCTGACCTATTATGCGCGAGAACCTTACCGCTAATATTATTCCATCGACAATTAATTGACATACCCACGTCTACACCACGGTGCTAAAAGTTAGAAATTCTTCTCCAAATTCAATCATCGTCGAAACAACGTTCCAAACCTAACTAACAGTGAGTCAATGTTCCTCAAAAGACTAAAGCAAAAATATGAACTTGCATAGAAATTCACAGTCTGTTAATTGGTTACGTCGTAAATATGCCAAGGAAAATGGCAAACAAATCTTTAACCTTCTCTATTTGACGATCACGATCAACAGCGATTGTTCTTTTCCAAATAACTAACATCTAAATGATACTATGAAATGTAAAAAATATAATGAAAAATATAATGAAATTAATGTGTTAATATAATAAAAAAATATAATATTTTATAACAACGCTCGCCATCAAGCTGTTTGAGAAAGCCAGTGAAACCAATCTTTAGAAAATCCCTCTTTCACGACCATGATGTCAGTGTAACTAGCGGTACCCGGTCACTTCCGTTCGCCACGAGCCCGAGAGGGCGTAGTCGATCAAACGGTGATCGCCTGTGGCCGCTTCGCAGCGGCTTCTTCCGCGAATCGGGCTGCGTAGGTACGCGACAGCGAGCGGCACGCGGCGAGATTAACAACGTTACGCCGTTGAATATTCGCCAGGATAATTGATACGACTTGACGTCGTAGTGCTGGCTGACCATTGAAACCGCGCGCGATAATATATCACGGATAACAAGCGGTCGGTGCACGACCGGATAGTGGCACGGAAGGGCCAGCAGGAGGAGCCACGGGACTTCGTTACAGCTCTGGCTGGATGTCTACCGAGTGCTTTGATACGATTATGATACGCGACCGTTCCGCAGAGTCACTCTGGCTATTCTGGAATCGAAGGTGGAGGAGGCACTCCGACATGCCTGTCCGCAACAATAGTAAACGTTGCTGTGCATTGATTCACGAACACCGACAGTAGAACAGCGGAGCGAGAGATCGTGGCGCGTAGGTAGGGAGAATGATCGTGCGCGAAGTGACCCGCGTAATCGTAATCAATCATCCACGACTGTGCACTGGAAGACCGGTATCTCGTAATTTCTAGTTATCTGGGGGGGGAGGGGGGAGGGAATGTGAGATGCACTGTTGCTTGGACGCGTGGTAGATTTATCATATTCGTTTTTTTTTTCTTGTTTCTTTTTCTCTTTTTTTTTTCAAGGCAATTTGATTGTACGCGTAGCTTGATTCTTCTTCGTTTTTGGATTGAAACGTTTGATACGCGTTTCTTGAAAAATGGAGATTATTAACGAAGCGCGCACGTTGCGAGTACTGTTAGCAACTGAGAAGAGAATCAATCGCGATTGGCTCTGGTTCATTGAGTCATGTAAAAATACATGGTTCACAGACATGTACAAATAAAATTGACCGAGAAGTCTCAATTATTATTGAAAATTGCATAGATAACATTGGGACAAACGAGTATGTATTAGTCTTGCAATTTCATAATATAAAAGCAGATTCCTATGAATGCAAAATATTTTTCGAAATCGTCACACGGCGTTACAAGAAGACCATTTTATACAATTTAGTCACATATTTAATTGACTAAACTCACTAAATGACTACGAGTATACCTGTATCTGACAAATTAACTTCTCCGACTGCCTAGGAATCCAAAGAATCCACTGCGAAAGTGAAAAAAACCAATTCCAGTTCCCATCGATCCAACTTCCCTCTCATCGCGAAAGATTCCACTCGTATCCGATCCGACCCGAGATTAAAACCAATCAAGTCACACCTAATACCTAACACCGTTTCAATTACTCGCTGCGTGGTTAAAACCGCAGAGAGCAAGCCTGACTGGCGGCTGGTTTAATGACTAACAATAAGTTAGACTCTGTGCGCACTATATGTAGCTGGACTCGTACATTGTCCGCAGGATCGTGAGGAACAAAGCGGCGGAGAAGGCGAAGCACGCGCATCAGCAACAGCAGGCGCAGCAGCAGCAAGGTCAGCAGCAAGGTCAGCCAGGATCAGGTGGTTCCGTGTCCGTGATAGCCCATGCACCTGCCACGGCAGCGGGTCACCCGGCGGCGACCACTCCCAACGCTTACAGCATCAGCGGTATCCTGGGAATCCCGACGCACCATCAGGATCCCAACGGCAACAGCATCAAGAGAAAACGCACCGACGACGGTGAGTCATTGAATTCTTTGATGTCGATGATCCTTCGACCTATGATTATTCTCGCTGTAACCGCTTGCAACAAGTTCCAGGCAAATCCGAGACCAATCGCGTTTACATTGTTTGCGAGCATTGACAAACTGTTAGAAAATGAATTAATTAGGTGACTCTGACGAATTATTGGGAAATCAATCGATGGAGTCTCTATGTTGTCGAGATTCAAGAAAATTGACACTCGATCCTGTACTGGCAATGATGATATTTGAGTGCTTGAGACAAAGGTTGAATGAATTTGTCAGATTTTAGAAGTTGAAATTGAACCTAGAACCTGGGTCAGATGACCAGACGACGAACTTTCGGAAACAGGTTTAACAATCGGGATTACAATTTGTCGATCGAAAATATGATAATTATCTATGTACAGAACCGACATTTTATTCGAGAAAAGAATAATGGTAGTGACGGTGCACGAGGAGAAAAAGAGTGGACGAGCTTATGTAAACGTCGGATCGGATCGCAGAAGGCGTCGCGGCTACATTTCACTCGCGACTGTTGGCCAGCGGGTTATATAAGGCCGAGCAAGAAAGGAGATATCGGCAAGATCGACGTCACAGCCGAGTAAATCGGCACGAGTTTCGCCGCAGTCCCTTTGGTGTATACCAAACAATGGGGAAGTCGGTGTGCTTCGCGAAAACGATGATACCGCGGTGACGTTATGTCGCTCGTCCCATTCAATTTGTAAGCTTCCATTGTCTACCAACTCGTCGCGAAACTTGAATTTTCGTCACCTTATTTGGTCGAGTGCAAAAGGATTCGTGGCGTAAAGGGCCGTCATTTTGCACGAATTAAGAGCGGAAAAGGAAAGGAAAATGTAACGAGAACGTTTGAACTTGCGATTCGATAAATTCAAATTGTTCTTTGATACGAATGATAAAGTACTTGCGAGAGACATTCGCGCTAGTTTCAATTCAACTCGACAAGCTAGTCGTAGATTAATCAAATTACCAATTTAAGAAAGTAAAATGAAAAAAAAGTAAAATTATTGAAAAATAATAGAACCTATGCGATTCATTGAATAACAGATCATTTCACTTTCCCATCAAACCAATAACAAGCTGTCTGCCAACATGACAAATGTAAAATCTGAACTCGTCTATCTTCCAATGTTAACGAACGCAAAGTCTAAACCTTCGATGTCAGATCTAATCTCGATGACCAATTATAAATCTATCCAAACATATCCCGACTTTAATCAAGCCTAATCCAATCGACGATCAAATGATTTCGAGCGTCACCGCGACCTGACCAAGATTAGCTACACACACACACATACATACACAGACACAAATAAATACACACATTGGGAATATCAGTCAAACGTCGAGCAGCACGTGCTGCGATTCATTCTGCTGTCATTGCGTGAATAACGCGTCCCGAAATATTCTCAACACGTGCCGGCTCGACACGTGGCCGACGCGACGTTGCTTCGACCCGAGGAGAAACTCAGCCAAATTTTGAACGCGTAACACGAATCCCCGATGCGATTCGTTGCTTATCTCTCGAAGAGGTGCGAACAGAAGTCTCCTCCGGGCCGAGACGAATCGTCAACCCTTCGAATTGACCCCCTTTTTGTTTCCTGCGATCCGTCACTAATCACCAGACTACGAACTTTCTCAGTCGAAATGATCTTTTCTAAGTTTGAAACTATGGTTGGTCAAATTATTTATAAATTATAGTACTTTCGTACAAATAATTTAAATATTTTTATAGATAGAAACCAATCTGACTTGCATACGTCGATTTGAACTCCAAATCATGTAATATCTTAAAAGTCGAACATACTTAATTATTAAACTTCTACGTTTAAAGTTCATCTTAATTGAACATCGAGGTCGCAATCATTTTTTCCTACAAGAATTTTCTATAAAGAAATATAACGCCGTTATCCCTAAGGTTATTCCATTTAATTTTAAATTAAAGATCAAATTATTTTCTTTAATTAAAGTTTTCTAAAATTAAATTTACGTATGAAATTTCACTCGGAGCATAGATTCATCGAGAGGTAAATTAAATTGAAAAATCTACCAACGAAACGTCCAACTCAATTTCCCAAAGACCGAATCTACCAAAAAATAAAAAAAAAAAAATAATAAAAAGAAAAAACGAACTCCACGAGAGAGAAGCGTCAATGTACTGGATGAAAAGTTACACGGACTGGCGTGGCGCACATAGCTGCACGTACACGCACGTATGTACATACATATCGATTCGTACATCGCGGAGCTGGATGGCGCGACGATGCCGATGGTACGCGAGTAATTCGATATAATCGGATTATGAGAGCGGCGATATGCGGTCGCAAAAGTGGTCGCGTCCGCGGCCAGAGCACTCAGTGTTTTGCGGCTCGGCCGAGGGTACGCGTATTAGATTATAAACTTCACAGACCACAGCCGCTTCTATCCCTCGGCAACGACACATTAGTCTCCCTGTCCTCCGGGGAGATCATCGCCGCTATTCTCGCGAGCCTGCGCCTCTTAACCGGTTGGAATTTCAACGAGCGTTGCTGCGATCTGCGGTGAAACACTTTGTACACTCGCGAATACATTTTCTGTCGCGAGCCAACAAAAAAACCGGGACCGTCGATGAAACGAGAAGGTCGGCCGCGATATGTAAAGTAAATTGCCGTTCACGTTTCCGAGTAAAGGATCGGTAGACCACAAATTTGTATTCCTTTTTGCACCGGGTAAATCGACGATAGGCTCGACACTTTGCGTTTATTTGTACAGGACGGGCCTTGGGACGGTGATACGGGCAGTGTGAAAGCAATCCTATCCACTCTGAGGAATTCCACGATTTCAATTTGACCATTTAAGCTATGTTTCGATGCTGTGGACTGTAGAGGTTTCTTTCGACGGATACTTGTCAGATACGAGCTGAGAGACTGAGAGGGACGAGCGTAATAAACGTGAAATCGTTGCGTCAGTTTTGTCGCGTTCCCATATAATATCTTCTACGTACATTTTCAAATTACAGTTGTAGTATTATAATCGTAATAGTCGTCTTTTAAACTTCCTCCATGGTAAGAGCTCCGATACTTTCGTATGGCACTTTCGTAGACACGCGGGAAATAAATAGAAAAATATTATTCGACAGAAACTGCTATTGACAATCATTTGAGTCTCCTGCGACTGGCACTTCTTTTTCTAGTAAAAACATAATAACGGAAAAAAGAGCGTAATAACGAAGAATCCATTCTGAGTTCTTAATCATGTTGAACAGTAATACATAGTCGAGGCATGCAACGACGAGAATTATGGGAGATTATATCGGAAGAAAGTGGTGTAAAATCTTGGCTGGCGAGGGTATTAGGTTCTCCCGTGGCTGGTGCCATAAATTCGTCGATAGGTACGCGCGCCGGACGGTTATGCTGTCTAATGCAAATTCTTGTAACTTCTGCAAAATTACGGTCACTGGTCCTCGACAGATTTGACAGTGGTTGAGTTATGGCGGAAGGAAGGTCAGCGTTTCTCCCCCCGAAAAGAGCAGTAAATCGAATAATTCGATTGATGCTCCGTTGGAGGGCAAAAGCGTACGCGCGCGAGCGAGCGAGCGAGCGAACGAGCAAGCGAGAGACCCGGCGGGGGGAGGCCGCGTTATTCGAAAGCAATTGAGTCAATGTTAAGCAATACAATACACGGGTAATAATGGACTCTGGGGTGAATCTGGTCCCGGTGTGCTGGTCCCCTACGCCTCGCCGTCCACGAATATAGGGTGGGACAACGCACGGCCTTTTGGATTTCTGCATGGGGCAAGAGCGCGCAGATGTAACGCGACAACAAACAGCCCCGATAGATTGCAACGCTTCCCTCGAGAGGTTGTTTCGTAAATTCGTAATAAGCCCACGGGATTCTTCGATTCGAGCACGCGTCTTAGCTACTTTATCGAACGCATAAATAACGCTGTCGATGCATGATCCACGATCCTATTCCGGGATTTCGACGTTTGACTCGACGTTACAGTTACAGAGGTCCAGCGTTCGTTAAAAGATCCAATTTGCAATTACTTGAACGTTTGAACACTTGTGAGAACTTTTTACAAATATACTATAAATGTATTTCGAAATTTCGTAAACGCTGTAGTGAAATATTGAGCGTCGCGATTATATTGAAACAACTATATATAAATTGCGAGGTGTCACACTAATAATAATAACATCCAAAGTGTAGCTCGTCGCGCCATACTAATTGCAAGCACCGACCAAAAACGTTTCGATCGATAGATCGGTCCTTTTTGCCATTTCGCTCTTACGTTCCTTCCAACCGAGATGTATTTTAAACGAATTCCCGAACACACGTTCGCCCTCTAAACTCTAATGAAATCCGGGGGACAGTAACGTTACACGAAAGCCAGGCTCCACAGCCGGGAGCATAGAACATAGAGTTAGGTAGAAATAGAGAGAACGGGATAGCAGACGATTAACTCGGCCCAATCGAATCGTAAAATTCAAGCAAGTTCATGGAAGCCCACGGTACCGGTGCGCCGCGTTTGAAACAGGGGTTTTATAGCGGTCCAGAAACAAACCCTGCCGGTCGAATGGTCGGGACCGTCGGCCGGCCGGACAATCACAACTTGACAGGGAGGTTTAACGAGCCCTATGCTACGTACTCCACCCATCTACCCTCGGATGGTCATTTAATTATTCGAGATACCCGAACGTTGGACCATCTACCCCCACCGAACGTATACCTCGTCCGTTTTCCCTTTCCCGAGTTCTGCACAGGCTGGAAATCGTTGGTTAGTTTCATCCTCCTTCCATGTCCGCCACCCTCCTCCACCCCTCGCGGTCCAACAACTAAAAGGGTATAACGGTATACGTCCGGCCACCCCACTTTGCCCAATCCACCCACCGATGTACCGGCACTCGTCCCACGTGCTTGTTTCTATATTAAACCGGCGGGATAGCCGGGAGATAATAAAGACATATAATGGAATCGAAATTGTTTCTCTATCTATCAATGCCATACACCGTCCCTCTATACGCGCCACCGTCCGACAGATTCAATTTAGTTTCGCGTGGCCACGTTTAATTTGTGTCTTGATTCGTGGGTAATACACGGGACCACGTATGCTAGCCGACGGTGAGATAGCCCAACGGGGATCGGCGGATTGATAGACGCGGAGAGGTAGCTAAGCGGTCAGAGTATTCCGGCCGTGATTCGTTCTGCTGGCCCGATTATCGCGTCCCAACGCGAACGCCAGAGTTCTAGCTTCTATGATTTTCGTTACACGTATGTGGATACGTAGGCATCCGTGTGACGTGGATGGTTGAACACAGAGAGCACCGCAATGCAGATGGTTTTTGGGTTTTGATTGCAGACGACAACCGAGACCTGAACGATCATCCCGAGGATGACTTGAAGAGGCAAAGAAGCAACTACAACGGTGACCAATTGTATTCGAACGTACGTATTTTCTCTTTTCTTTCTTTCTTTCTTTCTTTCTTTCTTTCTTTCTTTCTTTCTCTGTGTTTCTGCGTCCATTGAAAGCGGCGAACTATCTCAAAGCATCGGGCGAATGAAAGAAAAAAATCAGGAAGAGCAGCTTAACACCTAAGTCAATCCTTGGCGTTTCTTGCGAACAAGTAGCCCGTTCTCGCTGACACTCGAACTTTGCCTGCAGCATCCGGCGCTTCTGTTGCAGCTGTGGTCGAGTAAATGGAGCATCAAGGACGAACACAAGCTCCTGAGCGAGCTTGGAGGCGGCGGTGGCGGCGGTGCGAGCGGCGGCGGCGGCACGAACGGCACTGGAACCGGCGGAGGTGGCGGCGGCGGGGGCGGTAGCGGAGGCAGCAGCGGAGGAGGCGGAGGTGGCGGTGGCGGAGGTTACTACGAACACGGAGGATTCCCCGGGAACGCGATTGCCACCTCCGCCGAGCTGTACGACTCCCTGGGCACCATCAGCACGATGACGCAAGCGCAAACGCCCCATCTCTACACCCCGCCCATAGGGGGCACCATAGGTGAGCGACTAGTTCTTTCTCTGTTCAACCCTCCTGCACACCCTCCTTTCTTCTCTCACTGCCCCTCTCTCCTCCACTTTCGCACAAAATCCCGGACAGTGTGTGCACCGCAATCTCTTGTATATAATACCCCCGTGTGTACCAAGCCCCTTTCCTAGTCGACCTAGCACAAACCACCATCGTCGTCCCTTCCTTCGTCGTTTGCTAGCCTCTCTCATTCTCTCCTCTCCATCTTCCACGATGTTCCTTCTCTCCATTTGCCCACCTCTTTCCATACCTTCCTCCCTTTACTTCTCTTTACGTCCCTTTACGTCCCTCTCTTCCCTTTACGCTTATTATTGCGGCTTACGTCTTGCTTTGCATACCCATATCAGCTAAATACATAGCTTTAATAATGCATGAGCTGTGCTGAGCAGCGGCTACGGTGCTAGAAGAGGTGGCGGAACGCTCCATTCGGTGGTCTCTCTTTCTCTCTCTCTATCTATCTACCTATCTATCTATCTATCTATCTATCTATCCGTCTGTATCTTTCTCTTTCTCTCTGTGTGTATCTCTTACAATTAGGGTGTACCTCTAGGTCTCTCCTATCACTCACTATCCACCGAGTCTCATCTCTTTCGGCTATTTTCGAACTACTTTCGCTTGCGACACCTGCAACCACACCGCGTAGACTGGTGACAGAGAATCCCATTCGTACGTTCTTTTTTCTTTCTTTTTCTTTTTTTCTCTCCTTCCGAATGTGTCTAAACTAATCGCTACTGAACCATCCAGTTCAGATACTCGATCGTCGACACTCTGTAATCATTCGTTCGTCTAGTCTCTATCTCCGCTCTCTATGCTCCTCTTGTCTCTCGTTTCTCTCTTTCTTGCGCCGTTTAACGGCGGTCGATCAACGGCGGAGCGTACTCCTTCGAAACGCTATTGAAAAGCAACCATCGACGATGTTCTCTCTCCATCTGTTTCTCTCTCTCTCTCTCTCTCTCTTTTTTCTCTTTCTGTTTTTGTACGCATCAATACTATACGAGTTATATATACATATATGTATGCACGTGTATACGTATACGGTAAAGACGAAACTTTCTCCGGGTGGCACGTGTTGCGAGCAACTCGGTCACGCCGGGCCGCGGAACTCTTTCGGTCGGTGCTTTTCGGCATGGACGAAGTGAGCCGTGTAACGGCCGCTTCATCTCATGAAATTCAATCGGGGATCTTCGCCGCATAGATCGAAGAATTTTTGAAGGACGACACGGTCGGGCCAAGTCGATTGCACGGCTTGCTGCTTCTCGCCGTTAATATGTACGAGCCGGACGTATCGGTACGGTACCGGATCTCCAAGCTCGCGGAAACTAGCACTCACCCCTCGGCTCGACTCCTCGAAAGTCGTCTGTTTAGAGGGCGTAACAACGCTCGGTCATAATCGGTTTCGCGTTCTCGTCTCGATTTTCATTTCGATGAAAAACGTGAGGCTCGTCCGTTGTACGCAACACACCGACCGACCGACCGTCCGAATTAGAAAAATAGAACGAAACCGAGAGTACGTATTGGAGGGTGCTTTCACGATAGTGACGCGTGTCGTTTGTCGTTCCGCCTTGATCGCCAGCCAACGATACGAAAATCGCAAATAACGGAAAAATGGGGATCCCTTAATAGCAGGTGGTACTTTGACGCCGCTCGCGCCACTGACGATGCAAGAACTAAAATTGAGCCAAACATTGGACGGGGCTAACATGTCTCCTTACCACACCACCGGTGAGTTCGCCACCTCTTTAGTTTTCTTACGGTTCTAGCCCGGTTCTAACCTGCAGTTCGAGTGAATACTCTCTCCTAAGCTAATACCACATTGGTCATTCTTTTTTTTTCGATTTTTTTTTTTTTTTTTCTTTGTTGGAATGTACATGGAATCGTGATCATTAATTTCAACTAAAAAGATATATCCGTCCTCGATTGTCCTCTCCTTTCGTTCAAACGAAATTGCTACCAAACTAATGAATAACCAAAGAGCATTTCTCACGTGCCCTCTGTACGCAGAACGTTTCCTTACGTGGAAAACGTTGCCGAGAAAGTCGAGAAGATGCATAATGTACAGAACGTAATTGCACCCGTTTTCCCTTGTCAAGAGATCGCATGTAGACAATTACGGCCCCGGTGCGAGCCAACTGCTCTCTATAAGAAAGTGTTCGTGCTGTGTGCACGTTGGTACAGTTGTTGCCGGGATAATTTCCATGTAACTGACGATTCACCGTCGTGTCCCGTCATTCCCCAACTCCCCCGGTGCCCCCTCTTTAGACCTATTACTTACTACAGAGACAATTTAATTAAGCTTTAGACGTAAGGCGCTGATCGTTAGCTAGTGCTTGACTCGAATGTCGTGTTGTGTTGTGCATGGCCATAGCAGAGAGCAGTACCGTCGCAGTATCGTATGTAGGGGTGGGGGCCGGCGGGGGAGAGCAGAGTCCACCGATTTCCTTGCAGAACGATACAAACGCCACCCCCGCGGCCCCCAACACCCCCGGAGGGGATCCCGGACTGACGGTCTTGCAGCCGCCAGTTTCTCAGCCCCAGGTAGCATCTGCGATACCGCCGTACTCCACGATGCTTCCCAGTTTCGGACACTACGCCACCGGTGAGTACTGAACACAAACAACCCTCTCACGTCCTCTTCTCGTTTTCGATTACGACGATAAAAACGAATTGAGAAAAAAGCGAAAACGGTTGAACGGAAGGTAAGTTGGGGTCCGTCCTTAAAGGACTCTGACTTATCGACCTCGTGGATGAACGGCCCATCATTGCCAACGTGCGTTAACTCGCTCTTTATTATCCAAATCGTTTATCTTGCGATTAGAATTGCGAATAAAAAATTTTTGTGTTCTTTCTGGTCGACAGGGATTTAAATTACCGTCTAACGGGATTGCAATCGATATTTGTTTAGGTGGTGGTGACTATGCATACAGTGCAGCATACTCTCAATACTCGAGCGCACCGTACAGTGGATATGGTTATGGAGCAGCGACAAGCGGGTTGCTCAGTAAGTAAACAGTGAGTATGAGTACCGATTAGATTAGGGTCAACGAAATGTCTAGTACTAACTCATTGATAGGCTATGTCGGAACACAGCATCGACGAAAACGCGACTTGAATAACCACGCAAATACTTTACTCGCGTACATTGTGGAAGAAAAACGGTCGGACATAATCGGATCTAACTTTCTAAAACTAAAGAAACCCGGCGCTGTTTTATTACGTTCCAAGATATCGCGGATAAGATCGGACTGCAAAAAGCTCGCGGAATCGTGGTACAGGGGGCCGGTTTCGAAGTAGCCACGACTCAATGCTCGCCTTTCATAACGGACGATTGCTGGCACTTCATAGATCGCGATATTATTACTGCGAGTGAAATGCTCGGCCTACCTGACTATGCATATTCCCGTACATAACAATGAACGGGATAATAAACAATTTTTTTTATCCAACATGCGATACGTTCTCGGCTCGTTCCTTGCACGTGACGTAACGTGTGTATTCGTACTCGACACCGTAGAATCGAAGTTTCGCAGCACGACTTTTCCTCTTTCTATAATGTTATTTCGCAATTTCGTCGCGCTGGTAACTAACGAACAATGGTCATCCCGTCGAAAAACGGAAATAAGGCTCGTGTCTTATACGAACTAACAACATGCAGTCATATTTTAGGTTCCTGTTCTTTGTCCAAAATAAATAAAATCACTCGAAGTCTTAAAAAAATATTATCTCAACTATACTCTTACCAGAGTAAGACTATGATTACAGTGGATGTTTGATGAACTAACACAATGATCTGATATCTATATCTGAGCAATATATACGTTCTCCAAAATGCGCATCCATTATGATCATAGCGCCAAGTTCATTTACGATATTCGCAATTGTGAAAGTGGCATCGAGGAAGTTAATTTTTGTCAAAGAATAACACTCAAGCTGTCGTAACGTGAAAAAGTGAAAAGCTCCCCGGTGATAAGGTACCTCGATGATATTGAAAAATAAATAGCATCTTACTTTGCAGACTCGACGTACTACTACTGTAACGGGGACACGCTGGCGTCTTCCCACAGCAATTCGCAGCAGGGCGGCGGATGTAATAACACAGGGCCAGAGAATAGCACGGACGTGGCTAGTCGTTCGCCTTTAGCGGCAACCAGGGCGAGCAGCGGCGCGAGTGCCGCTTCGCCGACCGGAAGCGCGTGTACCAAGCCGGATCACACTTCCACGCCGACGGATCTTTATTTGGCCTGATTAAACGACGGCACAGAAGACAAAACTCGGACAGAGTGTCTTGCTGGAGCCGGAGCAGTGATCGATCAGTCCGGACGCCATATCACGAGGAACCACGCTGAAATTAAGCAATGATCTCTTTTTACTAAAAAAAGGTTCAGGAACGAGCAACCACGAACTGTTATCGTCGAGCAACAATCGGCAACACCTGAGATAACCACATGGCGAATTTCCATTAAGAACAAGAAAAGATATGGAAGAAAGGGCGGACTGTGACCAGATACACGTTCGTGTCAATGCAACGCAACATTAATCACGATGGAATCGCATATCGCGCTTTGGAGGACCTCGTCTCAATTCATACGAGCATCACACGAGAGAGATAGAGACTTTTCGAAATTTTCTTGTAACGCGCGTTAGACGACGATCGAAACATCGAGAACCATCGTGCGATATATAAGTTATATTTCCAAACATCGAACGCTGTTTGCAATTCATCGGATCGTTGATGGTAATTGTGATTAAAGATCATTTGTTAACGAAACCTTCGTCACGAGGGTTCGAAACCGTGTGTAGCATTGCAATGTCGATGTTGACGATCTCACTCGCGATCTCGGACGGACAGTGCAACGACGCCACGAGTGTCTGGTCCAGCAAACACTATAAGGACAATGCTGTCTAGTTACGCGGTCGGGATTGCAGATTGGCCCGCGAGCGTTACCGACAGTGTCGGTACTCGTGTAGAGTGCGCATAATTGTAGGTAGTTTAATTTAATGATCCTCAGTTAGTATAATTTCTACAGAATTCCCGCGATTCGGTCGTCCCTCCAAATGTGCCCGTGCATTCCCGACGAACGCATCGCGTCGTTGGTATCCATTGTTGACGATCGTTGCGTATCCCATCTCGCGAATGTAGATGGACACATTTGTTACCGACGGCGTTAGAACGTGTACATATATATAAAGTAAAGAAAAAGAATGATATATATGTATATATATACTTATATGTATATATATATATACATATATGTACGTGTATACATATATATATATATATATATATATATATATATATAAATATACATATTACCCGTGTAAAACAGAGTCAACTGCCTAACACGGCACGTTCTTTCTTCTAATAAGCACGACGACTTCCCCCCCATCCCTTACAAACCCCCACAAACGATATAAGTAACACAGTAGATATAACGAATAAGTTTATTGAAATTTTTAAATCAGGAATCGACGTAACGATCATTACTGTTAAGGATATTATATATATTTTTTGTAGAAACCAAAGACCACAGACGGATTGCCGAAAATGAGAATTGCATGCGAATCGCGTAGCTACGGCAGAGGCAGAGTTTTAATGGCAGTTCGAAAGCGATTTAGAGATTGCAAAACGAGTGCGCGAATTTGCGAGCGACGTGCAGGATCGGCGTGAATGTACAAAGCAAGGGGGAATGCAGCTCGTGAAATCGAGAAAGCGTGAAAAGCGAAACAAAATCGTGAAACGCGTGCTCCGTGTCATCGCGGTTGAAAATCAGTGAGAATGGCCAAGAGTACAATGCAAGAAAGTCGTTACCTTTCGATCAAGGCTGTCGTCCATCGTCGAGCATGGATCATGTCACGAGTATCTTTCCGCGGTCGCAAATATCTTGTCACGAACTTTTTCTTCCAAAACGGAACCACGAACACTTCCGTAACGGCCGGTTGATCGCGATTATTCCCGCGTTCCGTCCAACGGCTTCGCCACTCTCGCGCACCACTACGGAAATCAACAACGTACTTCCGGCATCGCGTCAAGCGGAACATTTCAAAAAGAAAAAGAAACACAACAAGCATCGCGGAACTGTAATTAACGTCTGGCCATCGCGATTTTAATGAGAAGTTATGTGCCTCGCAATTTCTTTATGATTAACGGGCAAAAATGTTAATTCGTAACCTTAATAAGGAAATTTACGCGCGCGTGTCCAGCGCCTCGCAATCTGCGCACACGATTTGTGCGCACGCAACGCTCCGGGCATGCGCGGCAAGTTTCGAGGCGGTCACGTGACGCGCGGTACAATTCAAACGCTGTATTTATACTCTACATTCCCCTCATCTGAATTCCGCAATTAAAAGAGCAACTTTTATTCACCTTCACGAGGATAATTAGATGTTTGTCGCTTCTATTTAATGAAAATTACAAGCAGTGCAATCAATATGTCAAAATATTTTAATTAATCATTTACGTAAGAAAAATAAGCTATCCGACTACATGTGATTATTAAAGTATCGCGTCACGCTTGAGAAATCCACCGTGAAATAGGTTTCCCAACGCGATTTCATTCGCATCACAGTTATCTCATAATTAACGAGTTAGAATTTCTCGAGCGTATCTTGTATGAACGATAAGAGTTGTCGATAACTTCGTGAATGTCTTGTTATATTTATTGTCTTCTATCGATATTCTTTTTTTTTAAATTGAATTTTATTAGAATATATTTATTAACGTTTTGCAAATGATTCGTACGGTCTTTCACCTTTTCCATCGTTACTTCCATATTCGCGTGGTATCGTTATACATGCACAATTCGTACAATTCCAATGAAACGATCGAAACAACAATATCGATCCTAAGCGTGCTCGCAACCGATTTATCGATCTGAGCGTCAGATGAACAACTTATTCGAATTATCTCGTTTATTCTATTCTGCCGATCGTTCGAAAAAGAAAATGAAGAAAAGGAAAGGAAAGGAGAAAGAAAGGGAACGTCACCGTGATTTTAAAACCGATATTTCGTCCTTCCCTGCTAGTTGTGTTCTTTAGATATTCAACCCGCTAACGCGATTACGTTTCTGCCGACATTCGTCGCAAAAGATAAACGATCTGTAAAAGCGATCTCTCATTGCGGAATAATTGCTATTTATAAATTGTCGTATTGTAGTGTTGCGTGTCGTAAAAGGAAGAAACAGGAACATGGAAATCGACGAGTCGAGAAAAAAACGAAAAGTAGAGAGAAATGGAGCGAGATGAAAAGAAAGAGAGAGAGAGAGAGAGAGAGAGGGAGAAATTGCAGTGCCGTTACTGTTTTGAGGCTGCAACAAATTCGAATATTGGCACTATCGTTTCACAAATCGTGATATATTATCCGCTGTCGAAGGAAAACGAGCTTTCTTTCGTTCATCCTCGTTTCACATCTACCGTTCTACAAAATACTTCCACGGTACACAGCAGATACAATCGGAGGGTCGATGATCGGCCAAGTGAATTCGATCTGACGTTCATTGCGATTTTTTTTATCACCTGTCGGGATTCTAACCAACGCGTACTTCACATTGTTAATCTATTATTATTATTATTATTATCGTAACGATGAGATGATTATGAATTCTTCTTTTTTATCATTATTATTATTATTATTATATTTTTTATTCTATCTGCTATTATCGCTATCTTTTTCCCCCATTATTCACATGATTATTATTAATATTATTATTTTTATTACTATTATTATACTATTATCATCATTATTATTATACGATTATTTAATGCCTTCTATTATTTATTAATTAGTATGGACGACCTATGTGTAATAAGTTTTGCCAAAGAAATCCGTCGAAAGAAAGAGAGAGAGAGAGAGAGAGAGAGAGAGAAAAAGAGAGAAATATAGAGAGCTATATCACGGTAATGTTTCGAGAGACTAGCTTCCATCAAATGGATGAGTTTTAGGAAACGAAAAAAAGTAAGAAAGAAAGAATTATCAAAAAATGCAAAAAGAGAAAAGCACGCGATATATTAACGTCGAATCGTAAATAGAAAAGCAGAAAAAAAGAGAAAAGAAGGGAAAAGGAAATTGATGCGTCACGAGAAGAATCACTTTTTTTTCCGCGCAGTATTCAAACGAAATGAAGTACACCCATAGTAGAGCGAAATACTTGTGAAATCGAGACTTCAGCTTGGATGTTGCGCCCCGAACTTTTCATCCGAGTAACAAACAGTTCTATCGTCTATTCTTCATTATTTTATTCTTCTTTTTTTTCCTTTCATTTCGCTGTCATTTCGTCCCGTGTGATATTCTTGTTCCGTGCGCCGCTCTTGCCGAGTCTCGCTGTTGATACTTGCAAACAAAACTCTGTACATCCTTTTTAAATAAATATGAGGTTTATATGAAATTCGTCTGGTGTTGTCTTTTAGCGACTAAAGGAACTTTCACTCAATTACAATGCATATCAAATAATTTAAGTGCAGTGAAAGATCATTTTTGTAAATAAACTGCAGATTTTTATGCAATTTTGGGAAATTTAAGATTTTAAAAATTTGTAGAATGCGTGTAAAATATAAAAATATATAAAATACCAAGAAATTCTCGTTTTTTTATATCGATTTTTTTAATTTATTTAATAAAAACATAATTTTTATCACTAAAAATATAAGATTGCGTAAATATCCGTAATGATTTTATATGTAATGACCAGAAGCATAATTGTTCTATAAATTTTAATGTATAACGAATGATAATTGAAAAAATTAATGAAAGAATTTTAGCATATTAAAAAATAGTTTATATGTGAACCATTCAATTTTGAGCGTAGATGATACAAGAGCTGCCACCTATCATATATTCTTTCATTTTTGTATGCACTGCCACAGACTATATGAATAAACCAAGCATCTTACGGAGTTTCGTGGCCCGTGACCTGAAATACCGACATAGTAAAAAATCACTGGTTTTTTAGCGCATTCTACGTTTTAACAACAGTGAATTGAGGAATTATATCAAGTAAAACGATTGAGGTTGGTCAATGAATGCGCCAGAAACACAAACGAGGTATTCATATACCTTATCTGTGATCTCGTCTGTGGTGACAAACGGTAATACAAATATCTTTCTTACCTCTTGCAGAGAACGAGAAAATAACAGCGAAAATTTAAACTGGCATAGTGAAATTTTTATTCAACTTTATAACTAGCAAACAGATACATTATACAACATACAACCATATAAAAAATTAATTATCTCAAGTATTCCATATCTTGCAACCATACGTTTCACAATTCCTGCAAAAAACATTGTACTCGACGCTTAGACAAACTTAGATACCTATTATCAATTAAATTTATTTCCTACGGTACAGGTAACGCGGTTGAATTAACAATAAGTATTAAATCGCCACGAAGCCCCCATGGTTTTTTCACTTTTTGTAAATGTAACTCTCGGCGCCGCCTCGACCAAAACCTGCAATGCGCAAGAATAAATGTTTCAAGAAAAGAGCCCATCTAAATTACTAAAGAGTTAAAAAAAGAACTAAAAAAAAAACTTCAATTTAATTGAAATTTTTGAAACGTGCTAAAAGTGTTACAATGAGGAGGTATTGTCTCAGGCTGAAATTATCATCTATTGAATTCGAAATTATTGAAATGCAAATTGTACTACAAAAGAGCAAATTATACTACAAAAAGAAGTCTAGAGAGCTATAAGTAGGTCTACAGCTGTGTAGAGTGCTCTCTATTAAGTTCAGATATAACAAAGGTAACATAGGTACAGAATAATAAAGATTGGATAATGACATGATCGTGGAGAGAAGTAGTATATCTCTGTTTTATTCACATTACATGCATCTCATAATGTAAAGTATTAAACAAACTAAAATTCATTAAAATACTGCAGCAGCAGATGTGAATAAAACGTACAAAATCCAAAAATATCAAGTGAAATGAAATTTCGAATCAATAAAACGAATAAGTGTTCCAATACTTATGATCAGAAGTGTATGTTATTCGTGTATTATAAACAGAGTCAAAACAATCAATAGAATTAGAACCAAAGCGAAATAAATCCAACAAGTAAATAGAACAAATCTTCTGCTGATAACCCTGAGTAAACACCTGTTCCAACTTCCTTCCTGAATATTCACTCGTCACTCACCTCCGGGACCAAACAGAGCAGAGTAACACGGATGATTACAGTAAGGTTTGCCCTCGTGTTCCGAATGGCTACCAGGTGTCAAGGTTTTGTTACACTTCTCGCATCGCAAACAGGAACCGTGCCAGTCCTTTCCCAACGAGGTCTTTCTTTCGGCTATAACAAGACAGGACAAATCACGCTCGTACGAATCACGTTTTACCTTGGTACGAGGCTCATTGCTTTAAACATTTTTCCAAGTACGAAATATATACGTATAGTTTTCTTAAAGATACCAATTATATTAATTATCGTGGATTCGTTATTGTTCGACGTCAGACCTGGCGTCCCATAGACGAAGCTTAATCTCGTATTCACGTATCGTGCCGTACAAGTCGATTGTCCGCTTTCGATGTCACCGATCGACAAATGATTCACCGGGTGAAATGGAAACGGGGAAATTATTACGTTCGATCACCGGCTTATTCGCGTGGCCTCAATCCACTTGGCTAAAGCCATGTACGGCTGCATTCCCGATAAAGAAGCCCGAGCGAACTTTGATGCCCCCCTGAAATGAAACCCCCTGACCAAGTAAGCCGAATGAGAAACGGCGGTGATCGTTGGCAAACACCGAGAATTATATAATAATAAGCGGCAGGATCGGATAACGATTAACGCACCACGCGTCGCGAAATTGTCACTTATCGCCAAATCCACTTTTCCTTTGTTACATGATACCAAAACCACGAACAGTTTACGCGTATCACGATATTCACCGTCGTATTTTGTACTGTTGTTAAGTTTGACATCGTATTATTATTTCCGTTATATCGCTATCGAATAAGGTAATTCTTCAACTTAACTCAACAGAAGCGGCACGTCGAATGGCTTCTGAACGAAATTCCGGGTTTCAAATGACTTTTCAGCTTCTAGATAATTTTGAAAACCACTGTTTCGTCAAATTGACTGTTATCTAAAATTCCTTTTCCGTCAATTTCTAAAACAATTATTTGAATTACCTAAGAACCAAAAGAACTCCACAGAATCCTAATTGTTAACATTGCGCAACTGAAAAAGTCATCACGTCAATCGCACGATCGTTGTTACGTTTCATCAGTATACAAAATTACGAGCAACAACAATTGTTCGAAACAATCGTTATTTCCCAGGCTTTACATAAATTGCGATTAATTAATTGATCTTTCTCTCCCGTGAATGAAGAAAATTCCGCTTATTGAGATCGAAAAGCGAAAGAAACACGACCGGCGAGTCGCGCGATCAATCGGATCGGACAATGAGCAGCACACCTCGGCCGAAGATCCGATCGCGACACAGAGGAGAAGTATCCCCAGGCGGGACCTGTGTCGTCGTGAGCATCGTCGTCGCCGGCTCTGCTCCATTAGCAATTTCGTAATTATAAAATTGAATGGGCGACTCCCCAGCGGAGACGATCGCGTGAACGCGTTTCATTCAACGAAGGCGCGAACCCGAGGCGTCTTGCGGGCCTTCGCCGTGAACAAAGCGCGCCAGCCGCGCCGCTTTACAAAATGTCCGCGTTGTTCCGCGGCGAATTCCCACGTGCGGGGGCAAGCACGCGCGATCTGCGCGGCGCTGCGACGTCGCGCGAGTAATCGCGAGAAAGGGTGCGGAGCCGACGACGCAGACGAGGAGCGCTGACTCGATTCGGTCGAGCGCTTTTGTTTTGCGCGTCATCGCACCGAGACGCGGTTGATTAATCGAAAAGCGTGTCGATACCGCCGGTTGATGAGGAAGAGGAGGAGCTATCTTGTTACTGAGCTGATAAGGTTGAAAGAGGCGCGATCTCTCTTTGTGATGCGACACTGCTGGAAATTTTCGAACGTGTACTGAGGCACGTGTGTGCGCGCTACGTGTGCGTGGAACGTGTATCAAGGAATCAAGGATCCGTGTCCTTAGTGCATTGTACTTAGTTGTACGTGTCTTGTATTGTACATGTCTTCAGTACTACACGTACGTCTTTTTTTTTAACACAGTCCTTATTATAAAAAAAATTTTGTTCCGCTGACTTGTGAGAAATCCCGTCTTAACTCGGGATTAAGATATCTTTGTTTGTTGTCGAGAGAAGACACGAAACTTCCCGTATATGAAACGTGTATATTTAAATATACATGTATCAATTTACTTTGTTATATGTGAAATAGGGACCTCTAGCAGAGAGTTGCTACCACGACAAGTTCTTCAGGGCTTTTCTTGGTCCTGCTGGTTGCACGACGTGGAGAGGAGGAGAGAAGGGTGGCGGAATCTGCGAAGGCGGCAGATCGACAGTTTGAAAGACGCAGCAAGAAAAGTGGTAGCTGGAAAGAGGATTTGCTTGGGGGGGTGGCTGGGCGGACTAGAGTGGAGAATGGTCTACCGGAGGAAATAAAGAAAAAGAAAAAAAAAAAAGAAGAGAAGGGAAGAGAAGCAGGGAAAGAGAAGCAGCCGGGGGGATGTTCCTATGCAATCAGCAGCCGCCGATTGTTTGGCGCCCGGGCGCAACGATCCGTGCACAGCACTGTCTGCCTTTTCGCGCTGCCACTGCACACCAGCAATGCTTGACGATTATGCACTCGCTTCTCCGCCGCCAGATAATTAGGAGTTAATTAACTAATGGCCCTTTATGCCGTACCCTTCTTGCTCCACGGCTTCTCTCTTTCCTTCATCCGTTGCGCCATTCTGCCAGCAAGCTGCCCGTTCCTCCCGTCATCCTCTCTCTCCTCTCACTCTCTCTCTCTCTCTCTCTCTCTCTCTCTCTCTCTCTCTCCATGCTGTTTGTCCTTCTCCTAGCTTTTCACTTGCTCTTTCGCCCTCTTCCGCTCTCTCGTTCATCGTTTACGTCGCGGTCTCGTCCTACCCCCTTCGTGCCCTCTTTGCGAACCAGCGTATCTCTCTCTTCCCCCCCCCCCCCCCCCCCCCCCCCCCCCCCCGCCCCCTCCTCCCACCGCGTTTACTCGCGTTGGTTCCCGACGTCGACCCCTTTAGACCCGTTCCCGTGTCTCTCCGCTCCTCGTCATTTTCCAATTCCACTCGCTGGCACCAGCGTCCTTTGTGCTGCTCCTTAGACGCGGAGGAACGTTTGAATGGCAACCAGCGGGCCGCCACCGGTCCGTGGCTTTTTTGTCTTCCCCGCGAGGTTTGATATGTCGTAATGGTATGACGCACCGCGACGCACCGAAGGAAAAAAAGGCTACACTCGCTCCTCTGATTTCGCGGCCTTTTGTCGAGGCGAACCGAGAGGCAACCGTATACACGAGCCGTCGAACCCGCTCTCGCGGCAGACTACAGCGTACGGAATCGGCTGGCAAATGTACACGCGGGATTCCTCGACCGTGTTCCGGCTGGCTAATGCGACACGTCGTCGTTCCAACGTTATTGTCAACGTTACCATCTTCGATTTCATTATCCATCGACGACTGCTGGCTGACAGATTTTTATCAAATCGCAGTGTCTCCCTCCACTGTCGCGACGTCGTAAACAAGGGGGTTTGAAAGGAAAGAGAGGCAGCAGTTGGTTATTCGGTTTTTCTCCTCCTTCTTCCCCGTATCCTCTTCTGTTCACGTCGTTCTTCTTCGCCAACACAAGCCGACTATTCTTCTCCAAACCTGTTTTCCTCCTCTGTTCTTCTTCTTGTTACTCGAGGCTCGTGTCTCGTTGTCGCTCGCCCCGAAGCTGGACACTTTATCGTCGTTGCTCTCGGTGCAACGTGATTTCGGTTTCCTCGTTCGTTCCTCTGTTCGCCGCGGACGCACGTTCGCTCGGCATCGAAAAGTTTTTGTGTCGCACTTGCTGTCTGCGAATTTCTCTCTGCGAAGAAGAATTTCCGTTCGCGCGAGAAATGTTTCGTGTCCATCGTCTTCGAAATTTGAAAGAACTATTTCTTATCTTTCTGTTTCTGTGGGTATATATTCCTAGCTCTGTGCGCGAAATGACTGATTGCGAGAGAGTTTCGAAGGATTATTGTTTTTAAGGATTTTAAGACAACAGACGCTATGATGCTATTCTTGTACCTAAATTAAATTCCTTCTTTGGACTCGTCAAAGATTTTGGTTTCTGAAACAATTATTAATTTTCAGATATTGTTCACGCTTGTGAAATTAAAGAATTCCTTTATTATCTCACCATCCTTTCATACGTTTCTGCATAAAGTATAAGACTGGTAGGCACGTCGAAATGTGAAACAGCCCACAGTTCATTCCCAATTCATTAAGCATAGAAGCGGTTGCAACATTTCGTAGAATCTCGCTGTCAATTGTTTCTACTTTTCTTGATGAAGCCAACGACTCGTGAAATCCGACATCCAAGAAGCATCCTGCTTCCTCGAGTAGCCGCGAAAATCCCTCGAAAATCAGTCGCGTGTCCGCGCAGGAAGAAGGTGAACTCCGACTTGCCAAGAAAGATTCGTGAAAAAGTGACGAAGAGGGTAACGAGGCGAGTCGCTTGGCGAATGCCACGGGATCATTCGAACGCAGCCCGATTTGAAAGCGGATCCCGGCTTTTCAAAGGATCTCTGTTACCACCGAAGGCACGAAGAAGCCTTCAGCTGCCTTTTCGCGAGCGCACGTTACCGGCAGAATGCTCGCTGGAAACAAAGGGAACGCGAGTAGAAAGCTGCGAGAGTGGCTTCTTCTCTTTCTGTCGTCGCCGCCCGCGCGGATCTCCGAGAGGAGAAAGAGGACCGAACTTGGGAAAAGGAGTTACTTCGCCGGGAGAAGTGTGCCGCGATGCGGCGTCTCGGCGATTAATTGAATCCAAAGATCAACGGTTCAAAGGTCGCGGTTAAGTGTAGAGTGAAAAGTAAAATGCGATTTGAAAGTGTAATGCGCTCGAGAGTATGAATGCTCGTTACGTAAGATTCAGTTGAGGAATTTAATCGTTTGACGTGGCATTCGTACAAATATAGATATAGATATTGATATGGTAGCAAAAATCGAACGATTGGAATATATATGCTGATTGAAATAATGAACAGGTTGACATCTCTTTCAAAATCGATTCTCATGGATTTTGTAAGAATTTTTGTGAATCTTCCTTGAACGATTAATTTTGTAGTAGAAACGGATGGTTGAACTTTCGATCGAAATTAATCCATCAAAGTATCAATGGAGGAATGTACGTGTGTAAAATTTGACAATTGATGATACAGTCGTGAGAATTTACGTAACACATAAAAGCGCATATATACACAGTTGCTTACAAAGTAAATTTAAAAATTTATAGGAATTTTCTTGCATCTATCATATATATATCAGTTATATAAAACAATATGAAATTTCATCAAGAATTGACTATCATAATTATATTTGCCAAGTTTGAAACTTGTCATAACAAATTCTTTTACGCTACAGTAACGTGCAATCCATGCAACTTCAACAATACACGCACGTAATAACCAATATTTTAATTATTTTGTACAAGCCAACGCTTGTACAAAAGTTCTTCCACGATAAGTGCTCGAATACCGCATTCGATTTCTCTGTTTCAGCTAGTTGGAGACTAAAACTTCGTTGCAACCTACTAACCTAATCGCTTTGAAAGCCAAGAAACTCCCACAACATCCAGCAAAGTAGCTGAAGCAGGTGTTAACTAAACAGAAGAAGAGCGTCCTCGACATATCCATCGATTGTAAACGGTGTTCGGAACGTACATTTGGTCGGCGGATGACGCGCTGACAGCTGAAAAATCTCCGGTTTTAGAGGCCAATGACCCTCTTTCTCACCTTCCTACCCCTCTTCGAAGCCCCATTGCTCACATTTCTGGCCGCGATACGCGGGAAATGAGTGCCGTCCCTCTAATTCGTATATATATATATATATATATATATATATACATGTTGCCACGGCCATTTCTCACTGGCACCTCACTTGGCCCGATCTGAAGGCCCACATACACGAGGCGGTCGGCAGCCAGCGGCTCTCGTGTATTCAAAAAAATCCGCTTTCAACGCTATTAGTGCTTTAACGGGTGCTGTCTAAAAGGCCCGCTGGGATGAGGAAGCGCGCAATTAAAAGCGAACTCACCCTGAATACTGGGATCGCTCTGAGCGAAGGCGCGCGAACTTCGCGCGAGCCGCCCCAAGGCGCGGCCGAACAGAGCTATCGTTCCCCGACGAAGGTACACAACGGTTTAAAACCAAGCGCATGCACGAGGGAAGGCCCAATCGGCCGATTAGACAACGATAAGGTTATCGCGACGAGGCTCCTCTGGACGCGAGGATCCTCTGCGAATAACGGCCCCGATAAGCGCAGTCTAGTGTCTCGAGGTCGAACGCCGATAGCTGCATCATGTTGTACGTGTCGTATCGTGTTGTTTGTTTCTTTCTGCACGCTTCGAATCGTTTGTTCGAGAGCTGAAACACGGGGGAACGAAGTTAGACGAGTATGGAGAAGTTGAAGACACTCTCTATACTTCGGTGGCTATCGGCTTGGTTCTCCAAGAACTGTGAGTTTGAAACTTCCAGAACTTTGGAAATTGCGCAGAATCGCGCGGATTTTTTTTATGCACTGTTGTAATTTGCATTCTGTATTCAAGATATTCAAAATACAGTGCGCTTTACGATAGGCAGACGAAGCTGACTTGCATAAATGTCTGCGGTATGGTCATATAGTTTTCGTATTTTGTGGAATTTTGCATTAATTCTTAAAACAGAAGTGAATGATTATAAAAATCGAGAGATTGTACTTGACAATCCGGTGACTGACAGTAGCTGAGTTGATAAGAGGGATAAAACTTTGAATATTCAACAACGACAATGAATAAATATGCGATTGTAATTTGACAAGGAATGAATCGATTCGGGAGTTCAAGTTTTCAAAATTAATAATGACGATAAGTAATTTAAAAAACAGAAAAAAACTATTAAACTATCGCAATGTAGAAATTAAAGAATTATTATTTTGATATATTCAGAAGTTTAGAAGAAGAAGAACCTTCGACAATGACAATGAATCGTAAAAAAATTTACGAGTTACAAAAAACGAGGATCAAAATTAACTGTGGAAATTCGAGAAAACGAAAAGTAACATACCATACAGCTACGATAGAACAAATGTCGCGAAGGAATCGTCGAATATTCCAGAATAAAAATAGAAATTACAATTGCCGTTTAAACGTAGCAATTCTGTAGATAGCGTTAATGAATGGGGCATTATCATAAATATCGAGGACAGCATTTTATAACTCGCGGTTCTTTCAGCGGCATCGATTACGATAAAAACGCCTGCACTCGATAACCAATCATTATCATATTATCGCGGTACAAAGTACGCTTGGAATTATATAAACGAATCAATAAATAAATAAATACATTACATACGACGTTTTAAATTTAAAACGAGTTTTGAACAGTCATGACAACATGATCGACGACATGTCAGAATACTCGATCAAGCGCGATACATTTCATTGTATAAAATTTCCTTCCTAGTGAGTCGTATTACCCGACATTCGCGTTACAACAGAACAAGACTGACATAATGTTTGTCAAGGTGGACCGCGAGGACGTGCAATGACATCATTTCGTGTCGTCATTTCACGCACATTGCTGCACACGAACGAGACGAGGCGCTCGTGACGCGAATTCTCTACAGCAGGATGTTCACGATCGTGTCGGGTCGGTGCACACGAAACGGCCAGAATTTTTAATCACACTTCCAACAATTATAACACATTCCCAAATGTGTGTATCTTCCCTTTGTAGTTTCTCGGAAATTGCAATTGTAATTAATTTCAATTATATTGTAATCTGCCACTTCAGAGTGAAACAATCGTCGACGAAACATCGATCATACTTTGTTCGATTGGTTTCAAACATTATAGATATATGTATCCTTACGTCTAATGAATATTAAATTCCGAATGATCTTCGCACATCTTAGAACATTTCATACGCAACAATCGAATGTAAATCTAAGCGAGAAATTTCGTGGGCGCAATTCCAGAAAAGAACATTATAACCAGATTGGATCGTTTTAAAGTGGCTGCGTACCCAACATAATTCTGCGACGCATGTTGTACACGTTCGGTATATTGGTAGCATTATTCGTCATCGGCTTAAGGAGGATTGGGCAACGTTTATAATTATCGCGTTCATTTTCCTACGGTATGTCATCGCGATATGGAAAAGATCGGATTATTTGAAATGTCACGAGGATTAAGAATATTATAGATCATTTTGGAGCACCATTTGTACTTTCTGATAGCACTCGATGAGTTTTCAGTTTAGAGAATCGATTGAAAAATTACACTTACATTTCAATTTCGGCACTCTCACTGTACTATAATATACGAGTTACTTTGATGCCGCCTTGTCTCCATTCAATGTTTGTCAACGAGTTAAATCTATACAAACAGGTCAAACTGTTCATCGAATACTACATCGAAAATACGAGTTACATATGTGAAATATAATTCATTTTCAATAGAAACTTCTCAAAAATTTCTATAAAATCTTTTCGACGTGAATGACAGACTCGCAAGACTGCACGAAATTCACAATAAAGAACGGAACCCAAAATTTACCCGAAAAGCGCAGAAGTTACGTCGGAGAATAAAGAAAGCGTCTAGTCGAAATAAACAGAAAGCATATATACTCGGTAAAGTATATTCCCCGCGAGACATTTAGAACAAAGAAATTTCCAGCAAAATTCGAAATTTCCGCGAAGAAGAAAAAAAGGAAAAAAGATGTGAGAAGAAGAAACAGAAGTACTCACCGAAATAGACAGGCTTGTCGCACTTCGGACAGTTGGGCATGATGGAACTCTGGTCTGGCTCTCGTTGGAACAACTACGGAAGCGTCGAACAGGATCCACTCAACAGCGTGGTCAAGCGCGTACTGGGCCCGTACGTTCTGCAAGGTAACGCGATTCTCTCTAGTTGATTGAGCGTACGAACGTGTGTTAACGCCGGTCGGCCGTGTGTGCGCGTGTACGAGAAACCCGTGTTAAGGTCGCGTCGGTTCGACTTCGGAACTGGTATCTCCACTACTTATGTAGGTATACGTGTCTTTACGTAAATATACGGGGTGTTCCTGTGCAATCGGTCAAGGGATGATTCTACGTGGAAAAAGGAAGAACAAAATTTGTTCGTTTTGTGGAGGCTTCGTCTCCGAAAGAGAAACGAGTTTGAAAATATCACGCGATACATTTGAATTTGATTACTTTGGAAATTGGTCAGGAGAGAATAATTCAGAAGAGATTATAGAGATCAATGGCGTGGAATAAAATCGTCGTGACATGCTTCGTTTCCAAGGTAATTAAATTTGGAGAGATTTGTCAGACGCGCGCGTGTACTAAGTCGATTTTTAACTAAACACGTTCAAACTCCATTTTCGAGGCTTTGACCCTCTGTAATTTAGTTCACTCATCAGTCAGACGAATTACTAATTTGTTATAACTGTTTACACTTACAATTTCAAATCTAGGAACTAACAATTACTCAAAGTAAATCAGTTGATACTTTTATGCTGTCGTATCGATAAAATATAATGATGAAGCAACAAGTAGATGATACAATTTTCAAAATGTGGATTTAAGAATGCGAAACATTTTATTCCATAGAATAACCTATCTCCTATCGATTATTCAATTCTAAATTAGTGAAATTCGATGAATCTTCAAGCTCTAACTTCTTGAAAACGAGACTTTTGATGAACAAAATTTTGTTCTCACTTTTCAATTTATTCTTGCACTCGGAATAACCCTCCGCTCGGTTCACGATCACGCGAACACCCTGTATACATCTGTATACAAACACGCGTATGCCGTGTTTCTACGTGAACGTACATCGAGTGTGCGTGCACCTGAACTTGCGGTGGAAGCGAAGTGTCTTCAACACGCGATTGTATGCAACCAAGATACAACGCGGATGGATAATCGCTAACGGTCGCTTGCTCGAGAGGTACGACTTCTTCGACCGATGGAATCGCTCTGCTGGCCGACCGATCCCGTTATCCATTGTTGACAGATTCGTTATCGAAAACGCATAGCTAAGTAACAGGGCTGCACATGAGTATTCAATGATAGTCGGTATACTCGCTCGCTATTTGTATACGTAAATAACGGAGCGGACAGCAGCGACAGGAATGCGATCGAACGAGGATCCAGAGGATATATGAGCTTGGAGAACTGGAATTGGGCTAAGGTTGAGGATAGGAGGGTGGTTGACGAAATAAGAGGAGAAAGAGAAGAGGTAAATCGATGACTAGGCGAGTTGGAGCTGGTTGGAAGAGATATTGATGAGGAACCGGTTTCAATCGAATGAACGATCTTTGCTCCGTTTTTTTCTTTTTTTTTCCTAGCATCGAATCTGTGGGGTAGTCACTTGGTTTTTAGCCCTTTTAGGAATTTCTCTTTGTCTCAGTCTTGGAGGAAAATAGTTTTTTTAAGTATTCTAGAACTTACTCTATATTTATATTTTTTAATGTATTTGTCATCGTTTAATTATACTTAGAATTCTTTGTTATTAATATAGAACAATTGAATTTGATTTTTATTATAATATATTAGTCTACGAGACCTTGTATAACAGTTGAGTAAGTAATATTTAAGAATTAATACTATTATACCACGACGATTATTAGATTATGTTCGTAAAGAAGTTGATGTTGAAATGATGCAACAACAAATAATAATTAGTTTGTGGAATTAGATCTTTAGATTTTAAGAATGTTTCCTCATCATTATCTCGAGTGAAAGCATTAATTAATCACAATTTCAGTTACCTGCGCCAGAGTATAGAAAGGACACCGTTGCACGAAGCAGTGAAAAACAATCAGGCTGAAGTAGTCAAGCATTTAGTGGAAGTTTGTGCTAACGTGAACAATGAAGACGTCCGTGGAATTACACCATTAGTTCTAACAGGATCCACAACAGAAAGAAAGAACTGAAATTTCCAAATATAATAGCATCGTCCAGATTCTTGTAAGTGCAAAAGCTTCACCAAACATCGCTTACCTCGATACAGGTATTTATCGAATTCATTTAAGATCATGGAACATCATCAAATCTACACAATTGAGTTTTCCAGTTGAGAATAATTAATACAGAAATTGCGTCGCATGGTTAAAGTGATTTGAATTTGCATATTCAACTACCTGTTTTAAAAATGCCAAATGTTTCCTGTTCTTTACATGCTTCTTTTCTGTTGAAGATCTTTGTTAACTTCGCCGTGTTAGCACCAAAAGAGGAGTTGCAAACGGAAGTAGTTATGTCTCTTATTGCAGCAACTACGAACATGAAACAAACGATACTGCAACATCCATTGGTGGAAATGTACCTCTGAGTAAAGTGGTCCAAGCTGAGAATCTACTTCTATAGTTTGCTCTTCGTCCACGTCTTGCTGGTCTTCTCCCTGTCTGGTTACTCTATAACGATATTGCAACCCGAGATTAATTCCATCCCGTGGAATGTGATTCTCAGTTTCTCTTCTTGCCTCCTGCCCTTTTACAATCCAGTTATGCAGGTGTTGATGATGCCTAGGTTCCTGTTTGTGATTAGAACAAAATTAATACGCAAAATTTACACGTTTCGCGTATGCGACGTGTAATATTTAATTTTTAAAAAAGGTACAACGGCAGTATGTTTCTCACCTTGTTCATCTTATCATTATAATTCTGTTTCTCAGTTGCGTCTCAATGAAGATTTGAGTTTGTACAAACGTTAAAAGTCTGTATTTACGCAGTTGAGACTGTAATTGTGGTTCTTCTATTAAACATTTTTCAAAAATACATGAATATCCGCACTCAACTTATAATTCATTAAAGGTATAGATAGTTTCAGTTATTACTTGAAACAGTCTGAGACGCGGTTGTCATTCGCCTGCGCGGGCATATCACTGGCAGTTTTAATAGGTAGCATCTATAGTAACATTACGACTACATTGAAAGAAAAAGAATTACACGATGCTCGACATGATCCCCCTGGTCTTGCATTCCGTCAGTCTGGCAATCCTGCTCGCCTGGATGCAAATGATGCTGTTAATCGGCCGCGTTCCAAAGTATGGATATTACACGCTCATGTTCTCTACCGTACTGAAGAACATTCTGAAGGTCAGTAGTAGACCCGTAGTAATCAACCGACGACGCGGTCTCCGGCGTACCGCGTGTAATAATCGCTATTTCCTCGCGCTGTTTTCGTTCGTCAGAATCGAACCCCCAAGAAAAAAAAAGGTAAAAAAGTAATGAGGAATCCCCGTTGAAACGAAGAACTCCCAATTTCCCTCGTTAAAACGAAGAACTTCCAATTTCCCTCGTTAAAACGCGTCGAGTCGCGGTTAAACGGGCGCGAATAAAAAGCAGCCACGTTCGACACCATAAGAACGCCGTTTTTCACCGAAGAGAGAAAGAGAGAGAGAGAGAACGTGCGAGTCGTTTCAACAGAGGTAGCGTTAACCCTGATTTAATATGCCGAGGGAGAGTCCTCTCCCTCTTTTTGTATCTTTTTTTTCTTTCCTTTTCCTCTTTTTTTTTTTGTTTTTTCTTTTAATTCCGTCTGTGCGACGAAAGATCCCGCATTTAGCCGAAACGAAAGGTACAAGAGAGCGAACCGAGGCGCTCCTCCCTTCGGCGAATATCGTTAGAAATGAAAAGCGAAAGAGGAAGGGGTGGAAGAAGGAAGAAGGCAAGATTCTAAATGTCTGGTCGCTGATATGGCTGCCATCAGGACCCACTTGCCTACCCCTTCGCGCAGTCGGTGTACTACACCACCCTTCTCTCTTCGCGATTATAACAACGTGCATCTGGGGCTTTTTATTCCCTTTCAGGTTCTCCTAGCGTTCGTCTGCCTGATTGTCGGATTCGCGTTCAGCTTCGCCGTTTTGTTTCACGGGAACGACCAGTTTCGCAATTTATGGAGGGCCGTCGTGAAGATCGTGGTAATGATGATGGGCGAGTACGAGCACAGCGATCTGTTCTCGGACGAGAAGAATGGGAATTCCCTCCTGTCAGTCACGAGCAGGATCGTGTTCCTTGTTCTCGTCGTGCTCGCTAGTATGGTCTTGATGAACCTGATGATCGGCATCGCAGTCAATGACTAAGGTCTCGAGGAGTACGGTCCGCCGATACTCTTACTCACTTTACCTTCGATATCCATTACGTAAACGTTCAGTTCAGTACGCTCAATGAATAATTAGTAATAACATCACAAATAATAATAAATCATTGGAACATTAACGATCAATGATTGACGACATTTGAAAACTACATGGGAAAAATATTAGTACCAATCATCATTTGTAACTTGTGATGAATTATATATGTTTAATATATGATTGATATGATTTGATATACAAATATATTAAATCTATAAAGCACATTTGTTTATTGTGTACTCCATAGAAGTATAAATTATGATAATTTTATTTGAATGGGAGAAATATTACACGGAAAAAATCTTATTCGAATTTAATTCAAATGGAAAAATTTTGCTAAAATTTTCGAAACAAAAAAAAAAAAAAAAAGATATTAATACTAATGACTAGCGACATAACCTTAACATCATGTAATTTTCAGCTCTTAAAATTAGTGTTTGATAACATTATAGCGTCATGTATCTATGTAAATGTAAATCTTAGAGAAAATTTTTTAGTCTCTATTTATTAAACATTATAGTAACTGAATTACAATATTACCTGAATATGCAAGGAACTTTGCTCTGTTGAAAATTAACGAGAAAGAACTTCAATGAGTCTACCTTTGAATTAGAAACACTTATTGCTCGGAGTCGGTATAGTAGAGAATTCCTGCTATCGACGTGACCTAGCGAAAACTTTATTAAATATCAATCTGAACATAGATGTCTCTTCGATACCATTTTAGATTTTCGAATTTGCATGTTCGTTAGTGTCACTGCATATTGAGTCTGCCCTTCCGAGCAGAATCACCGAATATTGGTAAGTAAACATTATGAAATATATATTTGAAAATGTGTGATACATCGTAGATAGTTGTTTTTTAGTTATTGCTTGTGATTCGGAATCTTTTGTCATTCATTCGATATTTATCGTATTTGATTAAATTTGCATGCTACCTTCAATGATCCTCAAGTGACCACGCTCGCGAATAATTTTACGAACAATAAAAGCAATTTACGCAATTACATTTTGCAATTAATTACATTTATGGCAGCATACAAATTTCACATTATGCTTTAATTAAAGCGATAATTAAATAGGATTTTAATGAATGTGTGTTTGATACCATACCGTCATCCTGGTCAGTAATCCAACGTATATAATACGTACGTCTATGTACGTATGTTTTGTTTTCAATAAAATTCATTGTCTCGGCGAGGCTATTGAAAAATTGTAATCGAAACGTTACAGATCGCATGTTGGTAGATACGACTTTGTCAACGTCCAATCAAATACTTATACGATCGCCATGTTGTAAAAAAAGGCGGGAAACACAGGAAACAGAGGAAACAGTGACATTCAAAGAGAAGTTGCAATTTCGCCATATCGAGGATTATTCTGGATATTCGAACTTCCGTAAGTCTTCGTTTTATTTTTTTCTCTTTAACGCCGTTCCCCTCCCCCCTTTCTCTTTGTTTTTTCTACTTTTCGTTTTCTGAATTAGTTCACAACTTTCCAAGAATGTGCAGCACGGAACGTGATACATGCGATGTGTACCTGAAAGTACCGTACAACTTCGTGCAGGCAGCATAATTGCAATTTGTTGATAAGATTTATGTAGGCAGTGGAGAATTTACAAGAACGTTAATCCAGGCACAAGTGAACACGAGTCGCGTTCGTTGTCCCAGGAATAATTAACGCGAAACTCAACAGAGGTACGTGATTTTGACGTTTGAGGTTATTAATGCAAGTATGTATGTATATAACGTTTGCGTGTAAATAATCGAGCACGATCAAACGCGTTATTTCAACGGGACATGATGTTTTACTGTTTCATCAGGAAGGATCTCGGCGATGAAATCGAGGACACGGTATTCGATTTATCTGAAATATATCGTTATTTTGACGTAAGACGAATACTAATGGATCGTACGCAATCAATCACTTGCATCCACATGACGCGTTTCTCTTTGTTCTGTGGTTCCAGAGATGGCACGAAAGTCAGCTTTGTTGCTGGCTAATAAGACCCGTATATTTGTTCGGATTTCAATTAAATACGGAAATCGGATAGGACAGTGGCGAGCGAATGCATTACCATAAATTATCGTTCACCCGCGGCTATAAAGAAATCAGACGTGCACCTGCCTTAACGGTTGTAACAGGTCTGCATGTAGTTCGCGATCTCTGGCGTCACATTTTTATTTCCATGAAAAACGGCACTAGGCGTGCAATTGTTTCTTTAAATTCCACACTTGCGACGAAAGAGAAAAGAGAAAAAATACGAAAGAGGTGTTACCGAGTGAGATAAAGAGATTAAGAGATCGTATAATTTGTAGGGTCGACATTGAAATGCGCAACCAGGACTGAAGAAAAATTCACAAACGAGTTTTCCTCAACTTGAAGAAAGATTTCCGAGTGGAATTCATGGAATTTGAGCATTGGCGTAAAAACATTCACCAGTCGACAGTGTGAAAAACTAGCCTATGTTTATCCTCAATTGTGATAAATCACGATTTTCAAAGCTGGAGATACATGTAAGTTCAATGTGTTCTCTTTTCCTTCGAATTTAATGTCTTTGTATCTTCATATCTCGAAACTCGTGTTTGCACAATCAATAATGAAATGTTCTTCATAATTAAATAACAGAAGAAACAGAAGCAAGTGGGCTGCGGAGGCGTAATTCAAATAGAAAAAAAAAATCCGATGACAAATTGGGTAGTCGTAAGTGAAAATAAACTTAATAGAAAATAAACGTTTTGCTTATTGTTTGACCATAAGTTTTTGTGGTAGGTAGAGGGATTGCGAGATAAGAGGATCATGGATGGTCCTTTCGCACAACGAAAATAGTGTGCAGGAGTCACAGTAGCAGTGGTGGCAGTGGTGGCAGTGGTGGCAGTGGTGGCAGTGGTGACGGTGGGCGCAACAGCAGCAGAGGCGGTGGTGGCGGTGGCGGTGGTGGTGGTGGTGGTGGCGGCGGCGGCGGCGGCGGCGGCGGCAGAAGCAGCAGCAGCAACAGCGGCAATCATAGTGGCGACGACGATGACGACGATGACGACGATGAGTACGACGACGACGACTATGGCAACGGTGACGGTGACAATGACGACGATGACGATGCAACGATGACGACAACCAAGACGAAGACGGTGTTAGAAGTTCGGATAAATTCGGAGAGCTTCGGGTGGGGTCGGTTCGCCGCCTTGCCTGCCATGACTGGCCGGTCGTGGCCTCGCGGGGGGTGAGGGTGGGGGTGAGGTGGCGCGTCGGCGAGGGAAGCAGCGGCGGTGAATCCGGCGTCGTGATTGGTCGTCGCGTGGGAGAGCCGCCCGCCCGAGCTCACCGTGACCGGCAGTCGACATCGAGCATTCAGGCAGAGCACGTCGAGCAACGGATTCGAAACTAGAAACGCAAACACGCAACCTCGGGACCTTACTACGGGCACGATGGCCGTCCGGCGCGTGCACCGTCAACAACAACAACAACAGCAGCAACGTCGTCACCGTCGTCGTGGTGCCGTACTCGCCGTCGCGCGTGTTCTTTGTACTTACCTGCACACGGAATCGAAGCAACAGCAGCAGCAGCAGAATTGCGCGCTCGCTAAAGCATCGTGGCCACCATCGTGCGGATACGTGGCGCGCGGACTATGCGCCTGGTGTACGCAATAAGAAACGAAAGAAAAAAAGGGAAAAGATACCTAGACGCGTATACACACACGACGACGACGCACGAGAAGTTGCTGGCAGCGCGCGCGCTAAATACGACACACATCACGGGGTCCAGGGGCAACTCTACACACGACTCAACCTACATCACACACGCTCCATCGTTACTTCCACCTTGTCCCCTCGTTTCTATCAGCCGTGTGTATATTGCACGCTCCTCTCCTCCCTTGTGTGCGCCGGCCTTCCCACGCGGTCCTCGTATCTTCGTCGAGATTACGTTTCGGTTAATAGGCAAGGAAACGCGCGTCGGCTGTTAAACCATCGGCCCGCGTTTGTCCGTTCACGCGTTTGTACATGTTTTCTCTCGTGCATGCCTGTCGATGATCATCGATGATACTCGTTCGATCGTAAATGCTATCGTGTCGTCTCGTCTTTGTGTTTTGACTGGTGGTGCGTTTATTGTTCGTGTTCCGATCTCGTCTCACCGCGACGTTCTTTTTTTTATACTTACGGTGCAACGTTCTCGTTCCTGTGCCTTTCTCGTCGAAGGAGGAAAAGAGAAAAGCGAAGCAAAGATCAAGTAAAACAGAAAAGGGGAAAAATAGTGTGCATTAAAATATATAGAAGCCTAACCTCCTCCGTCGACGATAGTGGCGACGGTGGTGGAGGCGAAGGTGACGGTGACGGTGACGGTGACGGTGAAACGTTTTCTGTGTGCTCCGTGCTGTTCTTCCGTCGTTTGTATCGTATTGTTCGTTGTTGTGCGGGATTAGTGACACACAGAAATACCGAAGGGAAGGAAGTGTCTGTCGCGTCGGTGGCGTTCTTTCGTCGCGTAGTCTCGTGCGCGCGTGACAGAAGAGAGGAGCACACGCAGACGATAATAGAAAGAGAGAGAGAAAGAGAGAGAGAGACAGAACAGCAGCCACTGTTCCGACGGATCGTAGCAGCCCGGTTAAGAAAAGAAGAGGAGGGAGGGAGACCTGTGGTCGAGCATCCTTTCCTTTCGGCTCTCTCGAACCGGCGTGCCCTCACAGAGTTTGTTTCCGCTTGTTGTTCGATACTTGTCGCTTGTGTGTTATTCTGACCACGTCGTGTTGGGACGGACTCACGGCGGAGCCACCGGTTTTCGAAATTCCCGCGTCGGCCGTATCGGCCGCCTAACCTCTCCTCGGTCCGCAACTCGAGACGGACACACCTCTCGTGTTAAGTCGCCGAACGACGAAGACAGGAAAGACGGTGGCCGTCGCTCGGCCAGCAATAATGCCGCACGTGAGCAGCAGCGGCGGCGGCGACGATCTCGGCAGCGAAGACGAGGTCAAGGTCTTCAAGGATGAGGGCGAGGACGAGAAGAGGTCCTCCGAGAACCTCACGGAGGAGAAAAGTTCCCTTATCGACCTCACGGAGTCTGAGGTGCGTCTCAGCTAGTGAATCACTAGAAAATTCTACGCAACCCTCTTTCTCTCCTATCCGTACAACAGACACGGTGTCGTTACGTTAGAGTTTAGAGTGTGCATGACACAACGTGTCGCGTTATTTTTTTTTTTTTTTCTCCTCTTTCTCCCTGTCTCATCACTGTGTGCAACAGTATCGGACGCGTTTCTTCTTCTTTCCTCCACCCACTCGATCGTGACAGCCTAAGGACGTCGCCATTAAGTGCATGCGTGTGTTTGCAGGAAAAGGGTTCGCTCGCCGGTGGAAGTTACGCGACGACCGGCAAGACGTCAGCAAGATCCGATCTCAGTCCTGTTTTCGGTGAGTCCTCGTTACTATATTTCTTTCTTTATATTTTACGACACTGAGGGGAAAAACTGCAAGAGTTTCTCTCCTCTTTAATTGAAATCTTCTCGAGATAATATCGGATGAATATTCGGTGGTAACTTTCTTTGAAGATCTTAAACATCGTGATTGAAGTGAGAAAATTGTAGAACAAACGTAGGGGAAATAGAGATTATAAAATGTATACATATATGTCAGAGTGAAAGGAACACCTGGCAAAGTCATACTATCAAATCGCTTAATTCAAAAACTTTGGTTAATATGCAAAACAAAGACAGAAGTCGGCAAATATAAAGTGCCTGCCGTGTATATACATTATACGTACATATTACTAGCTCCTATTAACAGGCGTTTAAATTCCATTCTAAATTCATTTACTTTAAATTAATATACGTATGTACATACGTACACGTTAATCAGCAAATGAATGAAATTTGCTAAACGAGTACGTTCGCTCTGACGTACGTATGTATATATGCATACACATTCGCGCTCGTCGACACACGCGTGTACGTACGTAGCCAACGTATTATCCAATCTCGTCTAAATCAAAATATTGCGTAAACAACGTTCGACGTGCAAAAATGGTGAATTGCCACGAAGAACGAATTAGGAACAAAGGATGATTGATGGCGAACGCGACACGGTCGAAAGTCGTTGCACGTTATTCGTTCACCGTCGGACGTTTATCGCTCGCCGTCTCTCTCGCCTATGAAATCTGATAACGTGTTATGATATTTTATGCGTGTCGCGAGGGCAGGTCCCTGATTCATATAAATTAACATCATTGCAGATGGTTATCTTACGATCTGGTAACGTAATCTACTCGTAGCAAATCGCTTTTATGTCCTAATGATAATTTAGTAGACGCTTCTCTCACTCTCTGTCTCATCGCCGCCGTGGCACAGACGTTGTCGTTGAAATCCTCGGAGAGAAAGAAACGTTCTTGTCACGCTGGTTTCCTCCTCTCGTCCGATGATTAACAATCTCGTGGTATCTCGATCGGTAAACGAGATTATCGGGAGCCCACCGTGGCTACGTATTATCATCGTCTGTTGCGCCCAATCGGCTAAAAATGAAAATACTCGTCCGCGAGCGCGTGGTTCCTGATTTCCGTTTTGACGCGCTTCCGGCGAGAGCAACGCGCACGTACGCGTCATTCGCGCACGTTCCACGCGAGAAATTCTCGTGGTAGCCAAGAATCGCGAATTTGGACCAATTTTTGGGGGGGATTTTTGAACGTATGAACGCCGAGAAGTATCGAGTTTAGTAGGTTTAGTTTTTGCGTCAATTATAAATGAGAAATATGTATAGATTGTTCGTGCAACAAATGATATTAGCTAGCTCAAACTTGGATCGAACTTATTTGAACAACACGACGGTTGAGTTTCAAAAGATTGCTCATATTTCGAACGTAATTCATTTTCTATTCATTCTTTCTGACACGTATCAGTGGTAGGTTTCGATGGTAATCTGGAAATATATATACCATTGAGTTTGAATACTATCGCGTAATCCTGTAATTGATGTTCGTGCGGAGTTGTCTTTTAATAATAGATTTTTTTCTTTTCTCATGAGCTTTAGATAGAATCTATGCACACGCGGAATAGTAGGAACGTGTCATTTATAACCAGGGGAAACGTAGCCTCTGGTAATAGTATCGTTAAAAATTGAATCGTGTCTCGCTTTATAATTTTTATCAATCAGCCGGAGATTTGAAAGGTTTAATTCGCGTAACAATTCCGTTAAACTTAATCTATTTATTTTTCGTATTAAAAATACATTGTGTTATTGCACAATTGACATTTGCAATCGCTGATTGTCTGTGACCAATGAAATTGTGTCTGATTAACGCTGCTGTTCTCTTCACTCTCTCTTCGTGCGCGTGTCGCTTTTTCTTTTTTCTTTTTTTTTTTAAACACTATATTCATAAAAAGCGTATATTCATATACCATAGGAATGTTCCTCAGTATACAGTGTTTTATTTATTTAAATATAACATTTATTTCGAGTCGTATAGATACAAGAAGAACAACAGACAAATTAACACCGGAACTACTAAATTCGTAGCTCATAAATATAAGATTTCTCGTAAAATACATAAGATGTAGCGACGAACAACTTCCTTCTCCATTCAGTTTCTCCGGTTCAGGTGTCGTCTTCCAATCTACGATAATTCCAGTTTAAATCGCTCGTAACTTTATTCATTAGGGCTCGAGTAAACTGTGAATAGGCATGTATGAATTTTATGAATGGATCGTTCGATGCACGTGCAATACCTCAATGAGAGGAAGTGTCATGTTTCTTCAATCATTGGCGTATCCTGATTTTCCCACGGTCGCTGTTCTTTCATTCATAGTTCCTTTTTTCTTTTTTCTTTACAACAGAAAGTCGCCTCGTACTCGCGATCATAATCTCGACTCTTGCACTCGTAATCGTAAGAATTCTCGGTTCCATGGATTTTTTTTTTTGGAAAAAAATCGCGTTTCTGTTACTGTTTCTTTTTTTTTTTTGTTTTGACAGAAACATACGATACCGTTTTTTCCCCGCTGTTTCCAAGTAAAGGCGACGCTCGTTCTTCGCGGAAACGGCAATAAACATCGCGCTCTCGCTCGCCGAAAATTTGGTAGGCATTTATCGACATTCAAGACACGCACAACGCACTCTTTTGTTCCACACTCAGTGTTTAAATCACGGGCCACGGCGGAACACGTTTTAACGTGCTTGAAACTTTGTCGCCCCTCTTGTTTGGACCGTTTCCACTCCATTGGAAATAATTATCGAAAGTCTCGGCGACTATAGGTTTGGTACAATGTATGTCGTCTTCGGAATATTCCTCTGAGCGGTTAGAATCTAAATCCTGGGATCGCGTTAATCTTTAACGGTCTGCTAATATTTTATAACTGTGTAGGATGTCGCGAGTGAATGAATTAAACTTTGGGAAGTTTAGGAAAACTTCAAAAACAAAAGAAGCATGCAAATCTCGAAGCAACGGTATGCAACCCATCGAAGGTTTCATTTGTAATTCTTTTCACTTGTATCATCAATTTCTGTTTTTTAATATCAGAATTGTGAGAGAGAGTTCCAAGGGTTTGAGGATTTATTTATAATGTTGTGATATTGTTATTATTTGATCCTTAATTGGTCGAGACGACTGATATCAACATTAATTAAAAGCTGCAAATGATCTTGTAAACTTACGTAAGTGTTGATATTTGTTATCAGTGGATGCTATCACGAAGATTATAGTTACGATAAATACGACGAAATGTATCTACACAGAATTCTTTACGTGTCTTCACATCAAAGTGTTTCATCTGCTACGACGTAACTACAACACAATTCTAATTGAACTTTCCTAACGAGTGTTGTCCCATTTTTCGAGATGTATCGAAACATTTGCAGCTTTCTTACCTTTTACAAAAGCTAAAGCACGTGTATATGTCAATACTAAAAAAAAAAAAAAGAAAAAAGAAAAATCGAAACTAACAGAAGGAATCTAAAAATCATAAAAGATAACAAGTTGCAATTTGTTTCAAGCCGATAACGCACAACTTGAATAAAAACGTTTCTCAGAAACGGCGTTTCAACGATTAAGCGTTACAAGTTTAGATGATGGAAAACAACGATAACACGGCGAAAAACGAAGTTGAAATCTTAATCTCGAGATGCTAGAGGTAGAATATTTGAACTTTTCAAGGACCAAGCGATAGTTTGTCTAAACATTATATACATTGTGGATTTCTCGGTTTCTTTGAATTTTATGAAACTCTCCTCTCCGACTGGACCGAGCACGGACGAATCGTCGAGATTCTCTCTCGCCGTCGAATTGTTGAAAAAAAAAAAGAAAAAAAACGAAAAAGAAAAAAAAATTTGGCAGTGTCGATTGATCGATGGACAACACGTATGTACATATTATGTAATTCTCCTTTCTATTCCACTTTCTGTGACGTTTTCTTTTCATTCCCACGTGCAATATGCCTTTGCACGCTTTGTTGCTGATATTTCACGCTACATCACACTCTGTCAGAGGAAAGAGTAATCGCAAGAACCGAAAGTAATCGGCGCGAGGGGGCACGGGGAGGGGGAGTTGGGCGGCCGCGGGGCCGGAGGGTGAGCGAAATCGAATTGACGTTGGTTAAAAGCGAAAAGGGTTTTCGGCGAGAAACCGCGGGCAAAGTTAATCCCAATTTGCCGGGGGAAATTGACCGAAGTTTACGGAACGCTATTATTCTCGCGACAGGTTTGAAACAAATTGTAACTTGTTAGCGCAACGGGTATACACAATGAAACACGCCGTAATCTCTCTTTCTCTAACACACGTGCACGCTCTCTCTCTCTCTTTCTTTCTCTCTCCCTCTCTCTTGGTAGCCCCTCCCCCCCTGGCTGGACTTTGTCACTGACAAATCGATGTCGTGTGACGGCGTACACGCTGTCACCCTGTTGCCAAAACAGTTAAACGAGTTACGCCTGTGATTCTGACGACTTATCTCTAGTTTCCCGCCTAGACGTGTGATCAAAAGGATTTAGGAGTAGCGTGACGTTGAATCTTTTGATTTTTCTCACCTTTTTCGAGAGTGAAAAAGTGTTTGAGTTTCTTCTTCGTTTGATAATTGCACGCTGTCGCTCGAAATTTTCGTGCGTGTCGTAGCTCCAAAAAAGAAATGGCAGCCCCTTCGGGTAAGTGAATATTTTATCGACGATATTATTTTAAGGTGTCAATTACATCAGAATTGGAGCCTGTAATTAGAATATTCTTCATTCTTTGAAAACTGGACGAAGGAATGCTTTTTAATGACGCCCCAAAATTCTGAGCTGAAATTCAAAAGTGACGCGAAAAAAGAGAAATTGTTGGTTAATATTGGATTTGTGAAAGTGAAGGTCAGAAACTAATCAGCGCGCCAATTTTTATTAAAAATCTATAGTGATAAATCTGTTTCGAATATTCTGCTCGCCACTACATGTTTTATTTTTAT